AAAGTATATCCTTCATTAGAGGGGCAGAGATAGCAGCCTGGGGGAAACGGAATTTTACAAAAAATTCCTCTACAGTACACCACACACGCACACGGACATATACGTATGTGTGTATGGGTGTGTGTGTGTAGTGTACTACAGAGGAATTTGGTGTAAAATTCAGTTTATATATATGTGTATATATATATAAATATATAATATATCTGCTAATAAATATATGTCTAATTTGGGTGAAAGTTTGTCTTTTTTACGCACAAAATCAAAAACAAAAGTAAATCATATCATGTTGTAAACTCAAGTTAATCCAGTAAACGTCTAGGATAAAATGAAGCTAGCTTTTGTCATGATACTGGAACCAAAGCAGTGTGTCAGCGTAGTATCCAAAGTCTTGGTGACACGTGGGTCAGATCCAACTTTTCCCCCAAATTTCCTTGTCTCCTCTTTGACACACATGTCGCTTGTTAGAACAAGACTGTGTTTTTTAATTGTGTCTCTTGGTAAACAACAGAGGACAAATAAGTGAGTGCTGACAAGGTGTCAGTGTTTCACACAACAACACTTTCAAAAACACCGTGTTAGCTTTAACTTCATGTGCTCAGCAACACTCTCTAATAGGGCGTCTCCCAACTTTTCTGCCTCCCTGTCGTCTGCAGCAATAATGAGCAGCTCTCCTGTGTTATTGTGAACATCACAACATCCGCTTCCCCTGAGTGTCACTTGTAAATTGTCACCCAATTGACACTTTGCACGGAGGAAGTGGGTTTTCAGAGGCTTTAATTAGCATGCGGTTTGTTTGGGTGATCGAGCCAAATGAGAGCAGAGGAGGAGAAGGAGCAGGGATTACGCACACACTCGTGCACATGCACGGACAAACAAGCGCACCTTTCAGCCCCAGTCACGGCCAGCTGATTTGCCACATGAACACACACACAACTGATCTAATTGGGGAGTTGTAAAGGAGGCGGCTTCTCTAATTAGCTTCTGTCTGCCTCATTGCCCAGCTGCCTTGACGGGGGATTCACTCCATCGCTCTCTCTATCCCTCTATCGCTCCTTGTCCACCTGCTGCACAGACTCTGTCTCTCCTCCTGGGTTTCTCAGACAGAAGGGAAATGTGCCGTCTTCACACAAACTCAAGTCCTGACATGAATATAAATCTAACATGAAGAGATTTGGGAAGAAATGTCCCAAATCAATTTCACAAGATTTAAGAATGGACATCTCCCCTAATATAATATATACACACCCAAGGGCACACACACACACACACACACACACATGCCCTGTAATGTTTACAGATGGTGGTGTAAACAAACACCTGGCCGTGCAGAGGGGGATTTTAATCCTGTAAGGTTGTGGCTCTGATCTGATCAGGGTCTACGGATACTTCATCACTGTCATCACCACATCCACAATAAAATTACTGGCACGTCCAGACTCTGGCTCCTGACAATAAGGAGGAGTGGTAGGAGAAAAAGATTATTGTGACGCATTCAGGAACACATGAGCTTAGGAATAATCTTACAGGTCAAATATTAGCTAAAGATCGCTAAAAATCTAATTTTGGCTATTCTTTACGCATTTCTATATTTGTTTAACATTTAACCAAATTTAAGATAGCAATGTGATATGATCTCATATCATGTTTACACTCTTTATATTTTATTGGTATTAAATTCAATTTAAAGACAGAAAGCTACATTAAAATTAAAGCAGCAGTTAGCTTAATCGTGCAACTAATGTTTATCCATGATAAAAAAACAACAAACAAACTCATCTTTGTTTAGTTGTTAGCAACTTTGAACTGGTCTCTTTTTTTAGTTGTTAGCAACTTTGAACTGGTCAGACTGGCATTGCTGCTGTTGAAGAATCCCAGCAGTGGTGAAAATGATGATTTTTAGGAAATCTGAGACACGAAACGACTTGAAGAACAAACAGATGCTGGAGCTGACCAGTGTCCCTCTCTGTAGTGCAGAGTCTTCTGTTTGCTCCACTGTCCCTCATTACAGATGGGTCTCACACACACCATATCCCAAGACAGTGATCTGATGGAGCACAGCATCCATCATATGCACACACAGACCCTGGGCTATAGGCTGTGAAGCAATGTGGGAAATGTAAATACAATATGCAATGTTTATATATAGAGACGCACTTTGTGGATGTATCGGATACACAGTGAACGAGCCTCCGGGTGTAAGTCGAACTGCAGCAGAAGAAATGAATGAAACAAACAAACAAACACACAAATACGTCTGAACTCAACGGCTAATTCTCAACCAAACCTGATTACAAATCGACTGTGGCTCTCCAATAAGGTGTAATCCTCTCGCGCTTTTATCATCTGTTACAAATCAGCCCATTACTGGCAACTGCAGGTAGCAATTACAGGTTTATGAAGTGAGACTTGTGATGTCAGCATTGTGGAGTTAAATGGCAGAGCGACCCGATGACGGTGATCAAGGTGAAAGTTCCTGATCGACAGAGATTTTGTTTAAAAAAAAAAAAAAACGCTGTTAAAAAAATTGTGTTTTTTTTTGCTGAATGTGATGAAGAATCATACACTTCATCGCTCACCTTCACCTCTCTGTTTATTTACATTACGTCCATTCAAAGTCTGACAGAACCAGTGAAGAAGAGGGGCAGCTGCTGCTGAATATTCATGAGTGAAGTCAGTCGGGCCAGTGTTCGTTTGCTTTTCTTATCAGACCACAAATGCCTGCAAAAACTGTGTCTGACACTCACAGCCAATCAGAGACCAGCGTGGAGGAAATAAGGTGTAAATGAAGAGGAAAAGTCATAATAAGATGGTGTAACTAAAACTATGGTGTAAATTCATGATTTTCAACAGACTGAAATGATTGACTTGAACTGGGATTGTTGTGACCAGGTTGATTATGAAATTTTTTAAAATTATTTTTATTAATATTTAAAAGAGTACCTCATTTTTTTTGCTTTAAACTATGTTTAAAAATGTGATATTTGAGTGAAAGGAACACCTGAAACACTGAAAACTGATTATAGGAATTGATTTGTGTAATTCTGTAAATCAATTCCATGAACAAAATCTACAGCAGATCAGTGTACAGTCTGTGTTGATTTCACCTAGAAACTCCTCTGAAACTCTCCGCCCTGTCCGTTCTGTCGCCCATTTTCATTCATTTTCATCACATCACTCCTCTTCTGCTTTCCCTCTGTCCTACTATTATCAATGGTGAAGAAGAACTCAAGTTTGTTTGAAGTAGTGTACGAAATGTATGAGTGTGCCACAGAAAGGTCAGTCCCGTGGAGAGTAGCAGGATGGAGAGGGTGGAGAAAGGCCATCATCTCCACATGAAGCTGGTTGACAAAAATCTAGACTGAGAGCTGCTGAGTTAGTGCCAAGGGAAATACCAGCTTCAATCACTGCTGAAAAAGAATTCACCTGAATTTACTTTTCTCTCCCAAAACATTGAACAAAAAAAAATGCTCCACTTGGCATCCGGAATACCTTTTACATATTAAAAAAAAGAAAACATTTAAAAATCATGAGCCAACATATAAACTGACCTATGTACCAGAAACGCCACATTAGATTAAATACTATATATATAAATATATACGTATATATATGACAGTCACATGACCCGTGAGTCCGACCTACCTCAAACTCCTTAACAATGCTGCCAAAGGCTTTGTTCTTCCGGCAGCTCTCCTCCAGTAAGGACATGCTGCGATCATACTCTGAGATGTAGGTGTCAAACACAGAGAAATCTGCCCGACGACACAGAATCACGTCCACCACCCTCTGGCTCTCCTCCCTTCAAAGTCAGGAAAATAATATGTAATTGAAATGATCTATTTGTTTGATTATATGTAAATTCCTTTTTCACAGACAAAAAACAAAATGTATATGCTTTAAAGTAGTGCATACACCGCTAATACTACAAATCCTGCCAGTATATAGGGCCAACTCTAGTACACATTTGATATGATGTCGTGGGCCAGATTTGGCCCCCGGGCCTGAGTTTGACAAGTGTGACATACAGTATTTGTGTGAACAAGCGCTCAACAAGGAAACATAAGACAGTAGAGTACATTTTTTGGTGATAATAATTATGTTTACACAGATGTAGGTGTATAAATGTAAAATGTGGTGTAAATATTTATGTCCATCAAATATCACATTATCTAAAATATACTAGTTCAGCCTGTGGCGTTGGTTCTCACCACCGACTGATGCGTTCTTCCAGCTCAGTGAGGATGCTGCTGTGAAGACTGTAGACCTGCGGCAGGACGCCCAGTATCTCCCCCAGTCTTTGCTCCTCCATCACTGGCTCTCCGTCCTCACCCACTGACTCAGCCACAGCTAACCTAAAGTCCTGGAGCGGGGGGAGAAACAAAACAGGATATTTTACCCAAACAAATACTTGAGAGGAAGAAGCAAGTGGGAATAAGGGATAAGTACGCAGAGAGACAAGCGGGGGAAAGGAGATAAAATGGACACAATAGAGAAACGAGGAATGAGCAGAGAGATGAGGAGAAAATAGGAAGGTAGGAAGGAAGGTCAGATCCTCCTAAACATCCTTCCTGTCACCCTCCCTTCACATCAACGCTCGGAGCCTTGGGCTCTGTCCAGGCATTCAGGAAAAGGCGGCGCTGCTCGCACAAAAGTTGCTAGCACCAGGTGCTGTTGTATAACGACCTTGGCGCTCAATGACACAGTGATGTTTGGTTCACAGCTCCACACTTTTCAGTGAAGCGCCAGGAAATCTTCTAATGTAGGGTAAAAATAAGTCATCTGAAATCGATTCAAGAGCCATAAAACAAGAGTAACAGGCCTTAATGGCTGCCGCGCCAGAGACGGCGTGAACTAAAGAGAGCAGTTATGGCACATGAAAGTGAGGTTGTTCATCACTTTAGCAGATGAAACCCAAAAACATAGCCAGGAGCAGATGGATTGCCGGGAGATGTCGACAGTTTTAAATCAGGCAACAGCATCAGATATAAAGTTATGATGTGTCTGGAGTCTACTCTATAAAACCAATGCAGTTGTAACAACAGTACATTAGATAATGAGGTGATAAAGGGCTTTTTAAGTCATGCTGTTCAACACACAATTGATCCTGTGTGAGTTATCGTAGTCGCAGTAGAAATACAATCAGCCCTCTGGCCACCAGGTGGATTTAAAATCTATAAATAACTGAAATAAAATCACTTTTTTATTCTGTTTCAACTCAGCTCAGTCAGTTCTGGTCCATAGGTCACAAACCTAGAAGTAACGCCACCTTTGTCTTGTTTATTTCATATGTTGCTGAGAAGTAAACAGTGTTTTATAGGAACAGTGCCTCACTTCCTCCGTTAAGGAAGGCTCTAGAATTTTTTTGTATTATAGTTATTCTTATAACACAGTGGGGGCTCGTTTCTGCCTCTGATACTTTCACATGTATTGTTTGTTTCTTTCCCACCACAAACTATGTCCTACTACAAAATGAGTGCTTAGTGTTAATCAAAACATGTCCTACTACTGATTTTTTTCTTGCAAAATGAGTGCTTAGTGTTAATCAAAATAAAAATATGTAAAATATTGGCAAAATGTATTATTTGTCCACCAAATATAAAGAGGAAAGGGGAAGAAACCCCGGAGATGGAAAAAACAGGATAAAAAAACTGAATCAACAACAATAACTCACATATATAAATACACATATCAGCCATTGAACTATTTAACCAGCAGCTCTCCAGGCGACCCCCTCCCCTGAGACATGAATGACAGCCTGGTGAATATAGAACACTGCTGGCTGCCTCTTTCACACACACCTTCACAGGTGTCTTCACTGTAGTTTCTATATGCATTATTCAACAGTCTGATAAAAAAAAGGCTGCTGTCACACCTTTGAAAGGTGCTAGAAATTAGGAGCTCACTCTGAAAAAAAAAAGTGAAAAGAGCACGAGACAAAGTGTCTTTTTGTCCCAGACGATTTATATTGCAGAATTATTCAGACTGTGCCTTTAAATGAATTCCAAAACGCTGCTCCTACGACAGTGATGCTCCGACCTGTCAGCATGTGGTTCTGTCTACAGCTGAATTTGCAGAGACTAATTGGTGAAATGCATCATGATGAGATTTATGGTTATCAGAGTCTCATAGATGCAGAGCACATTACACCAGGCTGCTGCTGCTGCTGCTGCTGCTGCTGCCGCCGCTCGGCCCGCC